ATCTGTCAATAAATGCTGCAGGGACGATGGACAACAACACCCAGTGAATGTAGCTGGACTCCTACCTCACACCGTAGACAAAAATTTAGCTCCAAATGGATCAAAGATCTCACTGTAAGAGATGAAACGCCAGTGAAACTTTTAGAAGAAAACCAAAGTGCAAAGGTTCATGATGCTATGCTGGCACTAGTTTCTTGATTGTGACAGTTAAAAAAAAAGAACCAAGGGGAAAAAACCAGATAAATTGGACTTCTCAAAAACTTACAAAGTTTTATGCTTCGGGGGACAGTATCAAGATTAAAGGAAAACCTACAGAATGGAAATGTCTGCAAATTACATAGCTGATAAAGCTGTAGATCTAAAGACTTGCGATTCAACCATGAAAAGACTGATAACTGGATTCTCACTATTTACCATGCGAATCTCAGGTCTTTCAGTCTAAATTTTCTAAACTCTGGTAATCTCTCATCACTGCCTCATCTCAGTGGCTCCATTTTGCACCAAATATCTTGAAACAGCCTGTTTTTATCTTGCCACGTTACAGCTATTTTAAAAGAAAGTTGTGCTGGGCAGAATTTGATGCCTGTCTCCTTGATCCTCTGCTGTCTTCAATTTATTGTAACTGTCCCCTTAGAGGCATACACACTGAAATGTGACTTTTATAATTCTTGGCTGTCCATACCCGCTTCGTGGATTCTTCTGGTCTTCATGTGGATTTGTCACTAAACTAAAATGACTATCACCGTGACTTTATTTCTCAGCACTCAGCTGCTGGTATTGAGGAGTTCAGAAATTCTTCCTGCAGCTGCCTCTTTCACAGTCTGCCTCTAAACAATTTTTAAAAGTTGCTTTCTTTGAGAATTAGGAGGCAGAAGAGAAAGTGAGAGAGACGCAGACTCCGAGAGGGCGTGAGCTCCTCTCCTGCGCACCGTGTTCTTATCATTACTGCTGCTTTGTGATCTTTATCCCTAATTTGTGTCTTTTTACCCCTTTTCATTTCCTTTTCTCCCTCCACCTCCTGGTGAGGGATGAGAATCATTTTCCCTTGGCTTATGAACAGCCAAGTAATCCCCACAGCCCTTTGTTACAACAGAGATTTTACTTTGATTTTACAAGCACTACAGGGTGGAAGTGTAAATCTGATTTTATAATATTCCAGCAGACAAGGTGCCTGGAGTTCACTAGACTTCTTTCAATAAGGAACCACTAAGTTCATGGTTATAGACGCTAATGGGCTTCCCCAAAATTATTTGACAGACTAAAACTGCCCATTTGGACCCAGTTAGTCTGCCCAATCAGACTCGACGTTTGATTTCAGGTCCGTCACTGGGCGTTGGCTCCCCTGTAGGCGGCCCCTGGTCACACTGGCCTCCGTCTCTGCAGTGGCTGTGTGGGACAATGACAGACACAGACCCATGCATTTAGTGTCTATTGGGTTTTTTTTTTTTTATGAGGGCGCCAAAATATTTCAATAGGGAAGGAATAATCTGTCAATAAATGCTGCAGGGACGACGGACAGCAACACCCAGTGTTCTGTAGGCTGTCACCGGCTTTCCAGCCTCTGTCTCTCTCCTGCTGGCCCGGGACCCTGCCATACTGGGCTCACAGGCTCAGCATAGAAAACACTGGACAATGTGTCCAGCAGACGCTGTGTAGCTGCTCAGGACCAGCTGCTCTCTCCCCCATTCTGTCACCATCTGTCCCCTGGGCCTCAGCAAGGCAGGCTTCATCTCACCTTCTGGGGACCCGTGGCCTGCAGCCACCATCTGCCTCCTGGCTCCATGTGGTTGTAGCCTCACCCAGGTCGCAGTCAGGCGGGGCCGGATTTCTTTTGCTGACAGGTGCTGTCTTTCTCCCTCCTCCCCGGCTGTCCTCAGTTCTGTTTCCCTTCTTACCTCCTGCCTTTCTAGCTTCATTCTTTCCTCCCTCTCCTTCTTCCCTCCTCCCTTCCTCCTTTCCTTCCTTCCACCTTCTTTTTCAACTAACCCACAGCATCCTTTTCCCATGGTGGTCAGTGGTTGGTTTGATGTTTCATGACCACTGTGATGTCTGACAGGGGTGCTGGACGGTACCTCTCAAGCTGTGCTCTCTAAAACCCAAGCCCTCCACAGGATCCTGTGCCGAAAGACTGGGCCCAAATAGCTTGGGGATCCAGTTTGTAGCGAGCCCCCTTGCACATTTTCAAAAGAGAGGCTTAGGCACAACCTGTGATGAAGCGCCCCTTGAAACATATGTGGTGCTCAGATTTTTTGCCCAAGGTGCCCCTGTCTGAGTCATAGCCCCCGGCAAGCAGTGGAGGCAGTGTCTGCAGGACGGGCTGTGGCAACGACAGCTCTAGTTCGTTCAATCACTGTTGCCCTCCTTAGTGGTACTGTAACCTGACACGGCAGGGACCAGGTGCCAGACATAATTTTTAGTGGAGGAGTTCGGGGGACGGCAGTTGTGGGAATTGGAAATCCCTGATGGTTGGGAGCCTATGGGGAGCTGGATTTTGAAGAGGGGAACAAGGTGAGGGGAGAGGGTGGGTGGGTATTGCTAAATTATGCCACGTTTATCACGTTGCTCGTGGCCCTGTCTCTAGCGGTGCTGATTTTAAAAAGCATTGGCCAGAATGGCTTATTCCATGAAAAACTGTTCTGAGATTGGTAAGCAAGATGGGTGGGGCCAGGCAGATAAATTCTGGGGATGTAAATGGGCTTCACCGTCTGCTTCCCTCGCTCATCAGTGAAAGAAAATCTTAAGCAATCTGTCGAGTAGGCAAGCAAGCAAACGGACTGGAGAGCTGGGGGCTCACACCTCTGCAGTGAATGGAGGCGGGGAGCTGAGAATCCGGTAACGCTTTTAATTAAAGTGACTGCAGGGGCGTGGAGAGGACCCTGAGTAAGGGATGCTAATGAGCGGATGGTGCCCCGCCCCGCCCCTCCTGGGGAAGAGTAGGCTCAGCCCCTAACGGGTGTCACCAGCCCCAAGGGAAGATTTCACTTCTGTTCCTCTGTCTTTGGCTGTGGAGCACCTAGCTCTTTGTTTTTGATTGCTTGTCTGCTCTTTTTTTCCTTTATGAACATCCAAGGGGTTTTGGGGTTTTTTACCTGGACCCCCCTTTCAGATGGTATAGGGGAGCCTGAGTTGTGTCCACCAAGGGCTGTGCTTCCTGGTCCTGGGTGAAGCTAAGAGTCAGGTGTTGGCCTCTGGCTCTTTGAAGCCTTTGTGAGGATTGGCTCAGGTGTGTTTTCAGGAAGCTCTTTTATGGCCAGCTTGAACTTTTACGTGATAAAAGGCTCTTGTCTTTTTCTCACCAACTCAGGATAGATCAGAAACGTGACCAGGGATGGGAATAATGCAATAAAAATTTATTTCCTATTGCGACAGTACACCTATCGACCAGGAAAAAGGGACAAAGGAAAGACTTAGTAATTACCAATAATTGAGGAAACATAGTCACAGAAAGGTTTTGCTAACTGAAACTGCTCCCTGCCTTTTGCTGGTTGCTTGGGCTGCAGGAGGGCTTTCCAGAGAACCTCAGAGATGAGAAGCTGTGGGTGCCTCTGACTTGAGCCCCCTAAAAGGAAGGATGGGGGGCCCCCTGAGGGACTCCTTGGAAACCACCTGCTTCCATTCTGCACGGCACTAGGGCAGCTTCTGATGTGGTGTCAGCTTAGAGTTCAAAAGCTGAAACAAGTTTCTCCAATAAGTTCCTTCCAGCTCCTGTAGGTTTCAGATGGATTTTTTCCTAAGATGTTGTATTAAAATGCAAGCACACGGCTCCCAGAAAGCACTAATGGGCAGCTTTACACATTACAGAGAAATAATTGGCTCTAATCGGTTTGTCTCTGTAGATCTTATTTTAATTACGTAGCTCTTAAATACAGCGAGAGGTAAGTGGGTAATATCTTATTTCCCTAATATTGATCCCTAGTTTTAAATCACAGCCAATGCTCCATATCCTTACGTTTCACATCTGAGGATTCAACCAGATAGGTATTGAAAATACTGGGGAAAAACTGTATCTATGCTGAAGATGTACAGACTTTAAAAAAAAATCACTATTCTCTAAATAATACAGCCACTTACAACACAGCATTTATGTTGCATTAGATATAAGTCATCTAAAGATTTTTCGAAGCATGTAAGAGACTGTGCATACATTCTATGTAAACATCACATGCTTTTATTTGAGAGAATTAGGAACCCGCAGAGTTTGTTACCCATGAGAGCTCCTGGTACCAATGGCCTGCAGAAGGCATGGCGGTACGGGTGACCTCTGGAAAACACCAAGGAATGGGCCAAAGGTTTCCCGTGTTTGGGCAGCTAGCATTGTGGGCTCTACCTTAATATGTGAACCTGTGGTAAACTGTCCCTGACACAGCTCTGGGCATCTGAACTGATGGACAGGATTTCTGAGTCTGCAGAGCTGAAGGTTGGAACCTGAACAGCAATAAATCCACTAAAGCAAAGAGGAGGTTCTTGCCGGCAGCCCGCCAGACTTTGGAGGCTGAGACTTCACGTCCCAGGGTTGTAGGCCCTCCTCTCTTTCCCTTTCGTTACAGAGCACTTTGGTGAGACAGTTCCCACCAAATTGCTACCTAAGACTGAAGAAGGTGGAGGAGACACAGTCCTCCATCTGCAGAGGACACTGTCTGCCTAAGCTCAGATAGGCCAAAGAGGGGACTCACTCAGCTGGACCACACTTGTGGGCAACAGAGTCAGGACTTGAACCTAGAACTTCTGACCTTGGTTTAATGCTCTTCTGACTCACAGCTTTGGTCTATCATCCAAGTCCGTGCAGGCACGGGCCAGGCAATTTGCGCAGAGGAGGAAATGAGAGAAATTAGTCCAATGTTGGGACTGACTTCTGGCCAGTCCTGTGGTTTCCTGAAGTGAAGCAGGACCTCTGGTACCGTGTGGAGACCATGCTGCAGCTTGGTCAACACGAGGTTTGCAGTGTGACATGAGTAGCTAATGCAGGATGAGTGGCTGATGATCTTTGATCCCAAATACAGAGTCAGGAGCGACCTCCGTCCAGTATGGATCAAATCCAGAAGACATCTGGGACTCTGAGAAGTGGCTCCAAAAATACGGCTTGAAGGCCCAGAAGCTGGAGTTTTACGATGTCCTTGCTGACTGCTCCTTCCGCCATGCTGATGGAGTCGTTGATATAAAAGCCAAGCCCGAGGATGAGTCTGTGCAGACCAGTGCGGTAGGTGGAGTGAACTCCAGTGGAGCCTTCCCTGGATGGCCTGGGTAGGTGAGGCCTCCCTCAGACCAGAAGCCAAGATTAGGGCCGCACCAAAAAGCAGCACAGAGAAAAACTAGGCTTTGCACCCTTTAAATGCTACCTGTGCCATTGGAGATCAAATCTGGAAGTTGTTTCTCATCTGTTTTGTGTTGCTATGACAGAATACCAAAGGCTGGATACTTCGTGAAGAAAAAAGGTTTAGTTCACTCATAGTTTTAGAGGCAGAAAATCTAAGATCAGTTCACCTCATCTGTTGGTCTTTGATGAGAGTTGTTTGACTGACTGAGTGACAACATAGCATTAAAGGAGAAAGAGGACTGGCTATGTGCAAAGGGGGCAGAGTGTGTGGCTCTTGTGAGAACCTACTCACTCTGCATGACCAGCATGAATCCCCTCCGAGTTGCTACCCCCACTAGGCCCACCTTTTAAGGATCAGTCACCTCCCAACCTGCCACACTGGCAACAAAACACCCCCAACAAACCGTGGGGAAACACGGACGCCACTGCTGAACCCTAACACTGGGTGCGAGTTATAGAGAAGCCACAGGAGCCTGTAGAAATCCAAGCATTGTGATTCCCCAAATTATTCAACCTTAGGTCAGAAGAGAAGCCCTTCCCCTCATGTTGAGCGGAAGGAAAAACTGCCGTGAATATTCCCAAATCAGGCACTTACTTCTGTGGCCCTCTTGACTTATCAATCTTAAAGGTGCAGTCTTTGAACAAGCACCCTCAGCATGCAGTAGATTCCCAGTTAGAGTAAAATCAGGTTCTCCAAAGTGGACAGCAATGGAGGCCACGTCTACTGAAGACACTGAAAGCTGTAGTCCTGTGGTGCCAGCGGTGCTCATGGAACAGGGCTTCTGCTGTGCTTGACTGGCTCCCAGTGGAAAGTGCATGCTCAGTAGCAATGGCTTCCAAACTCCACAATCACATGCATTCATCAGGAGGTCTGGAGCGAGGCCCCCGCTTTGCATGGATATTACCTTAGTCCATTTTGTGTTGCTATGACAAAACATCTGAGGCTGGGAAATTTATAAAGAAAAGGTATTGATGTAGCTTGTATTTCTGGAGGTCAAAGAGAGGCTGGTGCTAGCATCTGTTTGATTTCTGGTGAGGACCTCATACACACCAACTGTTGGCCAAAAAGTGGGAGGAAAATGGACTCGTGTGGAAGAGCACCAGAGAGAGATAGAGCTGGGGGTGCTCTCAGGGTAGCTGATCCAGTTTACAGAGACCTAACTCTCATGAAAGATAGTGTCATCCTCCTAATGCCCTAGGTATCTCTTAAAGGAGCCAGCTCCCAACACAGCCACACCAGGCACCAAGCTCAGTATGGTGGGGACACACCACATTCAAGTCATCGCCAGTAACCATCCCCATGCCATACGGCAGCTGCTGGCCCAGGGCTATACTTTGACAATTCACTTTTAAAACACATTAGCCCCTGGGTATTTAAAAATAATCATCTTTGTCAGTTTGGACATAGCTTACCATAGACTCTTGACAAAATAGCAAGCCTGGGGCCAGCTGAGACTGATTTCTTTACTCTTTGACAATTATAAATTAAATTTTACAGTTCCCGTTAGGAGAATCTGACTTATAAAAGGATAATTTTACCTCATGTTTCTTGCACAAATGAGTAATAATATGGTTAAGGTTGAGCATTATAGACACAGCTGTCTTTCACAAATCCCGATGAAAAGGGAAAATTTTAGTTAGTGTTGAAGACAATGGGCCCCAGACTGGATTTACCCCCCCCAAATTATGTCGTGTCTAAAATAGGGAGAAATGTCACTTGTTCAACATGTAGATTGTTTAGGCTCTACCAGGATTCTGTTAGACTGGACCCCACCGAAATTTTCAGCTATAAAAACTGGTTTATCAGGACAGATCCAGAAAAGCCATTTATATTGAGAAATAAATGACTAAAAAAGGCCTCACTGGCTGAGGTTTCTGACAGCACCATTCTCCATATCTGTAAAATGGGTGTGGGAAAGTGGCAATTGAAAATCACATGTCTGAGAATGGTGCCTGGCTCCCCGGAGGTGCCCGGAGGTAGTACTCCTTCTCTGTAGCACGCACTGGCGCCGAGTCTAAAGTTAGCATCTGCTTTGTGCAGAGTCAAAATTTACCCATTTACACGTGAGAGGTTGAGGTTCGGGGCCCCTGAGAGGTGAGGTCACTCTTCTTCACACGGCCACCCTGCGGCTTTCAGGCCTTCACCTGTGCTCTAGGGTTCACCTGCCTGCTTTCCTCAGCATCCCGTTTTCCTCCCTCTCCCTATTTTCCCCCTGTTTTCGCTGTCCTGCTCCACGTTGCTCCCCTCTGGCCCCTCTCCTGTCATAGTGAGCTCCACGCAGCAGGACTGGGGGTCTTGCTTTATGGATCCTATTCCTGGCAAGGAGGGGCCATGGACCAGAGGGCACGCCCCCTGGCGGGGAGCCTCTGCCCTTGGACCAGTCCTGCGTGTCCCACGGGAAGCCACTTAGGTCTCACAAGGGGTTCTTGGTGACCTTGCTCTATTTGCAGCTGAGAATAACGAAGGAAAAGGGTGTGAGGTTGGGAGTCCCCTCCAGAGGGCTCCTTTCCCCTCCAGGCCTTGGTTGCCGGAATGTTCTGGGTCTCTCACTCACTCTCTCCCTGTCTGCCGCCTGCTGGACTCTCTAGGGCGCACAAGGGCTCACACCTGTCTTTCTGACCACCGTCGGCATCTAGCGCAGGGCTCCCGATGGGCAGGAATTGAATGGTTTTCTAGTGGGAGCGAGTGCCAAGAGCTGTAGGAAGAAAGCAGGATGGCGTGCCATCCTGGAGACTCTCCTGTAGTTTCCGAAAGGCTTTTTTCTCCTTTCCCTAGGAGACCAACATGAAGACAGTCCATGCAAAATATTGCAGCAAGTTTGTCCACGCGCCCTGGAAGGATGGGAGCCTGGTCCACGTCAACATCACCAAGGAGAAGTTCAAGTGGTACAGTGAGAAAATACACACGGCCTTGGCCAGAATCCAAAGGAGGTCAGTGTCTTCGCAGCGGGGTACCAGTGACGCAGCTCCTCTTGGGATGCAAACCTGTCTGATCTCTTCGTAAAAGCTCAGCTAAGAGAAATGGCTAATAAACAGTCAAGGTCACATCAGATGGCCTTGTTATCCACCAAGGGGCATATCTGAAATCAGAGACCAGCTGCCTGAATACAGTACAGGCTGTAACAAAATAGCCAACAAGGTGTTGTCATCACACTGGCTACATTTCACCGTAGGCTAAGGGAAGCTCTGCTCATGCCTCGGATCTTTTGTGGGTCACAGGTATCTTGCAGACTCTATCACATTCATCCATCCTCTGTGCTCTTGAATGTTTCAAAACAATATACACATCTATATGTATATACATAAAATAATTTCAAGTAACTTCGTGTCACACCTCACAATGTGATTGGCTCTTCTAATCTATCATGGCTCTTGAACCTGGTGTACTAACACTGTGAGCTCAGGGTCAGCTCTGTGAGGATGATCTACACTACCATCTTCACCATCCAGAGGCCGAGGGGCAGTTTTAGTCCAGAAGACTAAATCTATTCAGATGCACGGGCTCTGAGGTCAGACAAAGCTGGATCTTAATCCTACCTTTGCCACTTGCTGTGTGACCCTAGGCAAGTTAGCCAATGTCTTTGTGCCTCCATTTGCTCATTTATGAAATGGGAAAAGTAATGCTATGTATCAGACTATTGTATGGGTCAGATCAGATTCTCAGTCTGGTGAGTTTCAACCAGTTCCAGTCTCCAGAGAGCTCCCTCCTTCCTCCTGGGGTCTCTAGTATATAGCCACAGATTGCAGACACCCTTGTGATAGGTACTTATTACCCCCAGAGCTCCAGCACTGGCCTCTTACAAGCCCAGTCCCTGTGTCTGAAGTCTCCTCTACTTACACTTTGGGAGCTGACTCCTTGGAGTAGTTTGGGTTTGACTCTGGGTTAGACATGCTTGGAGAACACACTTCCTGCCTGTCCTGGGTCCCTCATCTTTCTCCTCTTCCAAATGTCAAGGATTGCTGGAAGTTTTCTCCTCTTTCCTAATTTCTGAAGACTTTTTGTGAAGAATTGGTATCAGCTGTCCTTTAGGTCTCTAGCAGAATTCACCCTGAAGCTATCTGAGCCTGGAGTTCTTTTCTTTGTGGACAGGTCTTAAAATATGACTTCAAATCTGAAAAGCACTCCGAGCTGATACTGGTATTTAGATCATCTTTATTTCTGAGTCAGACTGGTGGGAGTTATTCACTGTCCTGATCTTTTCAAAGAACCAGCTTTTGATTTCATTGGATATCGATGTAGATGTAGGTGCACATATAGACATACGATTTTCTTCTTTCTGCGCCATTCAGTTCTATGCTGACTTTTATTATTCCCGTCTTTCTCCTTACTTTGGGTTTAAGTTTCTTAAGGTAGATGCTTAGATTATTGATTTGAGAGTTTTCTTTATATCAACCAGCTTGGGGGGCCCAAGGGAGATTTTCACAGGTCAGGTCCCAAGATTAAACAACGCATGTGTGCAAAACATCATGAACAACAGCAGGCAGCGTGGAGCAGAGTGGCCAGCCAGAGCCAGAGAGCAAGAGAGGCCTGTGTCTATATTGGCGAATTCTAATACGGGCTGTTATCTCATGTGTCTGTCTACCTGTGCTGAGCCATGGTTACACAACTGTGTCCCCTTGTGCACTAGACTAGCAGGGCCACGTCCTCGGATCTCCTTAGATGCCCCTGAGCTTCGAAGCAATCTGAGTGGTTCCTCATACTTTTAGAAGCATTTAATTTTATAAATTTCCCTCTGAGTACTTTTTTAACTATCTCTCACAAATTTGGATATGCTGTATTGCATTTTCAATTACTGCAAAATGTTTTCTAATTTCTCTTGTCATTTGTTCTTTGACCAGAGGATTATATAAATGTAGTATATTTTCCAAAAGATTGTAGATTGCTTTCTTTTTCCTTTCCTGTGCCTTCTTTTGAGTATTTTTTATGATTCCCCTTTGTCTCCACTACTCTCATTAGCCCTACCTCTTTGATTCAATTTGTCTTATTTGGATGTGTGACTATTTAGCATTCACAATATTCATCTTTAACTTACCCCAGTCTACCTATAAATAATATTTTGTCACTTTGCATATACTTTGAGAGTCTTACAACTTCTTTTTTCCTGCTTCTCTTTTCCATTGTTATCCTGGAATTTCCTTCTGTGTGTGCTATAAACTTCACAAATAATCCATTACCTTAAAAATTAGGACAAGTATATTTTATATTCATCCACACACTTGATACTTCTGTGACCCTTTCCTCCTTTTATGGGTCCAAGTCCCCATTTGATAGCACTGTATTTCTGCCTGAAGAAATTTCATTGGTATTTCTTATAATACGATTTTGTTAGTGGTGAATAATGTCAGCTGTTTTAGTCTGGCAAACTCTTTATTTTTATTTTTTAAAAGATACTTTTGCTACCCATGGGAGTCTAGTTTAAAATTTTTATCTTTCATTATTTAAAAACTCTCTTCTCTCTGTCCTCTGGCTGGGTTTGCATGATTTATGGTTAAAAGGCTCTTGTTATTCTTAGGTTTGTTCCTCTACATGCAATGTGTACTTTTCTGTGTGTGCTTGCTTTTAAGATTTTTTCCTTTTATCGCTGGATTTCATCAAGTTTATGATGTACCTTGGGATGGTTTTCTTCATCTTTTTTCTTTTCGTGTTTGGTCCTTTGACCTTCTATTTGTAGATACGTTGCTGCAGTGAAAATTAGCAACATACTGACTGTATTTTTCCAAATGTCTTTTGTTTCCTCCTTCCTGCTTCGCGGACTCTGATTAATCATCTCTTAGGCTCCTGGGTATGCTTCCGCCAGCTGTTCAGTCACTTGAATTTGTTAGTCTTTCCTCTCTGTTTCATTTTGTATTATTTCCCATTGCTATGTCTTTTTAAACATTTCCCCAGTTTTTTCTTCTAATTTACTGCTAACACTATATATTTTTCATTTCCAATACTGTATATTCGTGGGAGTTTGATTTGAGTCTTTTTTTGCATCTTTCATTTCTCTCATTTTCCATCTTGGGTGTGTGAATTATATTTGTGATCACTGTAATAGAAACATCCTTTTCTGCTAATTCCATCATCCATGTTGTTGGGGTTTATTTTGTATCGCTCAATTTCTCTTCTAATTTTGAACCATGTTTTCTTGCTTCTTTGCAGGCCTGCTGGTTTTTATTGGATGCCCCCAAACTGAATTTTACATTGTTAGGCACCAGACCTCGCCTATTTTATGTTGTGTGTCTCAGTGAGGTCACCCGGAATCAAGCTGACTCTCTAAGTCTTGCTTTCAGGTCATGCTGGCATGGGTCAAGGGCAGCCTTCCTGCTAGGGCTCATTTGATCCACTGCTAAAGCCCTGCATTTGTTGGGATTTCGTTTCATCCCTGTGTTTTAAGCAGTGTCCCCAACTCTGCTGGGAGAGAAGCTGTTCCCAGCCTTTGCAGTCTCAGAAGAATCGATTCACTTCCTCCTTTTTGATTATTTGTTCCTCGCCTTCAGGAGTCTCTGTGACAGCACGCCTCGGTCGTCACTTGGCCGAATCTCGCGGCCCCTTTCCTCAGATTTCTGGAGCAGGTTCTCTCTCCTTCTCCTCCTCCGCTCTCACTTTATCTCCATTCTCTTCTCTTCTCCCCTCTCCTCCCTTTCTCTCCTCTCCCCTCCGCTGTTGTCTCCTTTCTCCTCCTCCTCTTTGTCTCTCCTCTCTGTATTTACCCTTGTGTGCAGTACCCACCTCTTCAGCTGCTTGCCCTATAAATTCTAGCTGGCTAGGTCTTGCTGAACCCTGATCTCTATTTCAGATATTTTCTCTGTCCGCTCCCGCAGCTTCCCTTGCAGCTGAACATTTCCTTGACATCCTGAGCATGGTCGCCTGAGCATGGGCTGCAGAAAAGTCCCACGTGCACAGCACCTGGCACTGGCTTGTCACTAGCCTTGGCGTTGCTTGATCCAGTCCACAAGCTCCACAGGAGCTTCCAGAATGTGCTGCTGTCACTACTTGACCCTACTCAGCAGGAGTAGAGGAGCAAATAGTGGGGGGAACCATAGCTGAGGACCTCCACAGAGCAAATGACTGGAAGCAACATACTTTTAGCTTTGGCACCCACCCTGGGTTTACTTTTCTGTCCTATAGATTAACTTAGACTTCCCGCAGATTGATGACAGGCATGAAGGTGCTGATAAGGAGGCCAGCTCAAGGGCAGGGTTTTCTACAGAAGACCTCAAAGTCCACTCACTGGAGGTGGGATACGAACGATCCACTCACTGAAAGTGGGATATGAACAATACATAGCAGCTCTGCCCTTTGCAGATGCTGTGTTAAGCTCTAGGAAGATGATCTGTGGCCATGGCACTAACCATTCACTTTGAAACCTCTTCCTCCCTAGGATTAAGTGGCTGCAGGATGGGAGCCGGGTCCTCTTTGGGAAAGTGCAGGAAGAGTGTGTCTACGTCCTCATCGACACATCTCACTCGATGAAGAGCAAGCTTGACGTGGTGAAGGACAAGATCATTGGGTTTATGCAGGTCGGATGGAGCTGTCAGCATTGTGCGCTCAGGGTCTGTGTGTGGTGAATGCAACCCCGGAAAGCATTGAATATAATAGTTATGAACAGTGGACAGGGATGTTTTGCACTAAAAAAAAAAAATTCCACAAGAAACTAATTCAGGAAAAGCTCCCATTTGCCAGTTAGCAAACCATCAGTTCTCTTGTAAGCAGATCTATTCCCCGTTCAGTCCTTTCTGTCACACATGGGCTTTCAAGGGGGCGTTTACAGTCATTGCTCTGAAACCTGGTGTACAGAAGCCTCCATAGTTTCCCAGATATTTATTACCTCAGCATTTGCATTTTATCTGGCAGTGTTTGTCTGGACTGCTGTGTATACCGGCCCCAGAGGAGTCTGGATGGATGAGCAGAAGCTCTGGGTTCTTAGTTGACTGCGCTGCCCCTGAGCGGTAGGACCTGAACCCCTCTAAGTGGGTGTCCAGGTCCTGCCGTGCACCTGTTGGATTGCTGTGTCAGCCACAGAAAGCAGAGTGGGAAATGCATGAGAAATACAAAATGCAGCTTTTAATCTGATAAACCTCTACCAGAGAAATGTGGAGTAGTGGGGGGCAAGTGAGTAGGTCTTTAACCAAATAACTGCCTCTCCAAGAAGCTGGTGACCAAAATGATGATATTGTGGATTTCTGTTCCTTTGGCATATTGTATTCAGTGTGTTTATCCAGAACACCATTAATATCAGCATTAAAATCAGCATTTAATGTCACCTTACATATAATTTATACATTATGTGACATATCTGATGGATATTTGTACATTCCTATATGCATTTGTAAATGTCTTCCATCCGAACTGGTATAAATTTTATTTAAATGCCTTCTGTACTAGAAATTATTTTTGCCACTGAACGTAATTCTTAGTTTCTAACCCCACGAGTAGATATCCTGGCGATTAGGAGGCATCAAGCTGTGAGCTGTCCTGAGCTTTTCTTACATTCGAGTGGTTTTATGGTTAAATAATAACCGTCTCTTACAGGAACAGCTGAAATATAAAAGCAAATTCAATTTCGTGACATTTGACAGCCAGGCAGTTGCTTGGCGGAACAAGCTTGCTGAAATTAATGAAGATAATTTGGAACAGGCTGCGTCCTGGATTAGAGAGATTAAGGTAAAGTGGAGACTGAACTGGGCAAGGCAGCCTGAGCGTTTTCACCTGGGCGCTGAAGTCACTCACAGGATGGAAATTTTAAGGAATGTGCTGAGATCCAAGGGCAGCGTTATTGTCACACGCCACCGTGTCCAACTGCAACCCTGGCTCGCACACCCCTAAGCTGCAATGTGAAATATGTTAAAAGGAAATTTTGTTCCTTACGCACATTAGCTATGTTGTATATTTTATATGCAGCCCAAGGCATTTCCTGTTTGTGCAGTGTTGAGCAGCAAGCCAGGTCTGCAGTCCTGGCTACATAGTGAGTTGAAGGCCAGCCTGAACTCCATAGTGAAACCCTGCCTCAAAACAAACAAACAACAACAACAATAACAACAGAAACTAATGTAAGGAGTCAGTGTCCTAATTTAGATAAATCTCTGTCCTTCAGCACAGTATCTAAGGGGTGTTGGTTTCAGGACTACCTCACCCTCGGGAAGTTTACTCCATGGACCTGAAATATACAGACATTTCACCCAATAGTGGGTGCTCTGATTTAAATCTAACATGTGCCCCAATAAACACATGACCAGCATCGCCGGTCATTTGAGAGATGCAAAGTAAAACAACACTCGGAAAGGATGGCCCTCATCAAGAAATCAAACAATAGCAAATGCTGGAGAGGCCATGGGAAAAATGAAGACTTCTTCATTGTTGGGGGGAGTGTAGACAGGTGCAACCACTGTGGAAATCAGTGTGGAGATAACTCAAAACATTGAAGCTACAAATTCTACTTGACCCAGTTGGTCCCTGTCTAGGTATCTTCCCTGAAAGGGTTAAAGACATCATACTACTGCACGGTTTGCCGTAGCTAAACTTTAGAAGCAACCTAGATGTATATCATCTGATGAATGGGTAAAGGAAATGTGATGCTTATGTACAGTGGAGTGCTGCTGTGCCATAAAGAAGGATAAACTTGAGCCATTTGTAGGAAAATGGGTGAACCTTGAGACCATAATATTAAGTAAAGTGTATCAGACACACAAACTTAAATATCATATAATTCCTCTTATATGAGAAACTCAGTATATAGATAAGGTGCAAAATAAAGGACAAACAATAGGAAAAAAAGAAAGAAAAAAAGTTATTGTGACCCATAATGGACAATGCACCTAGAAGTGCACCTTAATTTAGTATGGTTGTTTTATGTGTTTTGTGTGTTAGTCTAACTGCTAATCTGTTTGTGATAATTAACTTATAAAAAACTTGAAAATGAATACATATAATGGTGGCAAAAAAGGAAAAAGTGCTTTAAGATGGGGGTGGAGAGAAAGGGGAAGAAAAGAATCGGAGTGTGTCTAAACATGAAGCAATTCCCACAGTGAACACAATCACTGTGCTTTACACGTATACTAGTAAGAATTAAAACCAAAATTCATCCTCAAGATGACCGTCAATTAAAACGTTTTATATATATAAATAAAGACTGCTGAAAGAGTGGGAGTAGGATGAGGAAGAACGGGCCCTGGAGATCCATCCCCCAGCACAGTGGCAGTAATAATAATCTGTTGTGTATTTGAAAATTGCTAGTAAACTCTGAATGTTCACACACACACGGAGACAGCATACATAGGACTGTGTTCATCAGATTGGTGCAATCATTTCCCAATGTTTGCTTGTACATCAAGGCACCATTAACACAGATGATTTCATTTGTTAATAGAAAGAAATTAAAACAACACTAAGACCAAATTCTCCTGCTACTCTTTGGCAAGTGTGGTGCAGTAATCAACTAATTACATTCCCAACACCATGCAGAGCCTTCTGCACTGGTTCCTGCCGGTGCCAGGAGCAGGGTGTGGCGCCTTCTCCAGGCCGGAAGGGCTCCTGGGGCGGTGCCAGCTGGGTGTGGACAGGGGGTCTGAGCAGAGGGTGCTGGGGAAGCTGACGCAAGAGAGTCGCCAAGTCCTGATCATGTTCCCTGGGTTCTCTCAGTCCGGCTTTCCCCCAACTCTTCCATCATCTTTCAACTTAGCCCAAATAGTGGGTGCTATGATTTAAATCTAACAAGAGCCCCACCTCAAATTCCCCTGTGCATGGAAGGTGCTGGGGTCACCGGTGTATTCCTCCCTCCATGAGGTGAGTCCCAGGGAGCCTGGCCGGGAAGGGTTTATCTCTCTCCCCAGCTCTTCCCTTCATTCTCTGCTTCCGGTACCTTGATGAGGTGAGCAGTTCTCCTCCGCCAGACCCTCCCGCCATTCTGTGTAGAGCCAGCTGGCTGTGGCCTGAATCCTGTAGCCATCACAAACTGTGGCTGCTGGGTATTCCATCCCAGTGATGAGACTAAGCTCATAGTGATTTTCTATTTTCTTCTGTAAAGGTTTCCCTTTTCCTCCTTTGCTTAATTCATTCATATATTTAAATTTTAAATTTCACTATAATTTTTTTGTACGTTGACTTTGTATTTTTTAGCCTTAGTAAATCCACTTACTCAGTTCAGGAGCTTTGTCATAGGTTACTTGGGATTTTCAAAGGTGCTGTCAATGAATAGAGCTGATTTTATTGTTTCTCGTTCAGCTTTTACAGCCTTGATGTCTTTTCCCCCAGCACACTGGCTAGGATACGCTGTGTGATACTGAAGGGAGCAGGAGGGGGCCCCTTGCTTTGCTCCTAATTTTAGAGGGAAAGCCCTGAATCTTTTACCATTGATTACTTTGCTAACTAGAGGGCTTGTGTTTTTTTGTGTGTGCCTGTGTTTTTTATTTGTGTGTGTGTGTGTGTGTGTGTGTGTGTGTATTATAGATGTGTGTTATCAAGCTCTTTTCTATCCTTGGTTTGCTGAGAATTGTTAGCATTGTGAGTATTGAATTTTGTCAAATGTTCTTTCCGTATCGATTGAGCTAATCCATATAGTCAGTGAATTTGGTGAATTACATTGGTTTCTTTATTTTGGAACACTGACTGGACCTTGCATTCTTGAGATAAGCTATCCTTGCTCATGGTGCTTTATATATTTTACATATTTTGCATTAAATTTACCAAAATGTCTTGTTGAGGACTTTTGTGTCTATGTTCATGAGAAATGCTGATCTGTAGATTTCTTTTCTTGGAATGTGTCATCTGATTTTGGTTTCAAAGAATGCTGGCCTCATAAAATGGGACATTCATTCTTCCTTTTTTCTGGAAGACATTGTATGGAGGTGGCGTTTTGCTTTGTTTTTTAACTGATTGGTAGAATTTACCAATGAAACCATCTGGGCCTTGATTTTTTTTGGTGGAAGATTTTAAAATGTGAGTTCAACTTGTTTAACAAACATGAGTATCAAGGTTATTTGCATCAGTCTGAGTTAGCTTTACTCGTTTTTAAAGATGGAAGTGGTCCACTGTTTACCAGATGCTGATTTTAGAGCATAGTTCATAATACGGTATTATCGTTTATCACATGCCTCGTCATTGTGTTCATCTTTGTAAAGTCTACAGTAATGTTTCTTTATTCATTTGCCATACCGATCATTTTTGTCTCTTTTTTTTCTTGTCTGTTTGAGGAGTTTATAGCAGTCCTAGGGTGGAGGTGGTGGTAGCTATATTTCCCCTTCTGATTTTATGTTCACTTGTTTTTTTCCCAAAGAATCTGCTTTTAGTTTTATTGACTCCAATTTTTAAAAAATGTTTTCAGTTTCGTGGATTTCTGTCTTGCCTTCCTTATTCCCCTCCCTCCACTTGGCTTGCTTTTTAAGTGAGACCTCTTTCTTTTTGATCCAAGAATTTAAGGTGATATGTCCTTCCTCCACTGTTTCAGTGTCCCATGAGTTTTGATCTACTTTATAACTCTTTTTATCTACTTCAAGCTAAAGATTCTTCCTAGTCCTTGATCGTAAAGACTTTTATCCTGTGCTTTTTTCTAGAATGTTTTGATTTGATGAAATCTGTGGCCTATTTTGAATTAATGTTTGTATAAGATGTGAGATTTAGGTCGAGGCCTTTTTTGGGACTGGGCGTTCAGCTACTGAGTTCCTCCTCCACTGAGTTACTTCCGCTCCTTTGTCAGGTGGGCCTGTGGGTCTCTGTCCAGGTAATGTCTCGTTCTATTATTAGATGTGTTTATACCTCTAGTAGGACTATACCTTCTGATAACTGTGAATGTATAGCAAGTTTAAGATCTGGAAATATCACCCCTCCCTGTAATGTACTACTTCACGTTTCTTTTTCAGAATTGTCCTTGTTATTGTGGGAACTATATTTTCAATATAAGATTTTGAAACAAGCTTCTGCGCATCTGTAATATACTTTACTGGTGTTAATTGCATTAAACTTACTCATTCAATTAGGAAGGATTGACATATTCATATTGATCCTTCCAATCAATGCATACAGTATGTCTTTCCAAGTATGTAGGATTCCTTCATTTCTTTCATCAGCATTTTGTAATTTTAGCATACACAGCTTGAACATGTTTGAGCAAGCGTGTGTGAATTACCCCATTTTCTTTACAGCAACTGAAAATGTAATTAATTTTTCTAATTTTGGTCTCCCCTTGTTCATTGTTGGTATATAGAAATGCAGCTGAATTTTGTGTGTCGATCTTGTATCTTTCACTCTTACTAGACTTATGTATTCTGAGAGTGGTGTTTTTGTTTGGGGATTTTTTTGTTCTTGATTTGATACCTTTTCTGGGATTTTCTAAGTGGGATCAAGTAGTCTCCAAGGATAGAGATGAGATAATGATGCAGATAGAGAGAGATAAAGATGATAGAGATAGACAGGAGAAAGAGAGAGAGATTTTTCTTAATTTCTTTGAGTTTTATTTTTTTGCTTTATTTCTGTGGCTAGAACTTCCATTACTGTACTGGGTATCATGAGAGCAGACACACTTACCTTTTTCCCAGTCATAAAGGGGGAGAACTCAATCTTTGATCACTATCATTAATATCATTAATGTGATATTAATTACAGATTTTCTGAACATGCTCTTTATGAGACCGAAAAATTTCCATTGTATGCTTATGTCCTGAGTTTTTATA